TATTTTTACTCAACTGAAATAGTTTTTACTAAATTGAAATTATTTTTACTATTAAAAAACTATATATGTCGGTAAAAGTATAACACTTAAAAAACACGTAGGAGTGTGAAGGCTAGGAATTGGGCAGCCCACTTGTCTTATTGTAAAGTTCTCCGTTCATTTATATTTGTTATCCTTGTTAATTCCCTTTTTCCTTTGCTCTCTCTATTTTGCAGTTTTTCTTTTACTCACATCATACGAGTAATAAAATCCTAATTCCTCTCTTAAAGTTTTATAAAATTGGCGTCATTTTATCTAAATCTATGTCAGTAGATAACTAGAACAAACATAAGCTAAGTTTAACTTATGCTACAACAATATCTAAATTGATATTCTCCAAACTGTAATAAAAAAATTTCAATAGTCTTATGAAAAATGACTACTAAAAGGTAAGATATATGACATGTTGTAATTGGTTATTTTCTCCAAGCAATCAATTCTTTTAGGTTTATTTTAAATGTCAAAACTATTAAAAAATCATTTTGAAAATTTTTGAATTCTATATTTAATTTTTAATGATTTATTATATTTTCGAAAATCAATTTTTAATTTAACAAATTACATTATTAAACTTTAAAACTATATACTTTGGTAGTTGTCAAGTTCGTTCTTCATCTTTGTTTTCATATCCATTGATGTTCATCTCTTCATATTTCTTGAAAGAACAAGTACAATGTAATCACCCTACTAAGGCCTTGTTTGGTTGGACGTAGGAAGTAGAAATTCCCATGAAATCTCAATTCCTATGAAATTGTAATTCTCCCAAGTAGTGTTTAAGGGATAATTAGCATGAATCATAAGTTTACAAGTGAAAAATAAGATAACATTAAATTTTGTTCTAGTAGTTAAAAGTGAAAAAAGACAATAATATGAAATTTTTTCTAGTAGTTAAAAGTGGAAAAAAGACAATTAGTATTTAAACTCTCATAATCTGATGAAGTACAATTTTCCGTCTATACTCGCAACTGTGGTGTATTGTCCTTCTTGCCAGCTATCTCTTATATGAATCACGGTCGCCAAAAATTCATAACTCATCACTTGCATGTTTGAATATCGATATATGTAGTAATTAGTCACTTTTAGGTCCTATACATTGGCTGAAACTACAAAACCAGATAGTCAAATAATTGAATCAAATCAGGTTTAGAACAAAAATAGGTTAAAATTTGAGAGAAAGCACTTTGTATGAGAGATTTCGTCTTAAATTTTATCATTACGTATATCGTTATATCAGCAACCAAGAAAAATATGAACAATTACTCCAACTTGGCTACTAACCGATCTTTCGAGTATTGCTCCAAAACCATCAAGTGAACTGAATCTCTTGAGTTATCTCTGAATGATTTTTATTCAACTTATCTCAAAAGTGAAAATATTTATAAAAAAAAAAGAAAAAAAAAATAGATTAACGACCTTAAATTACTATACATTGTTTTTTGTTAATTAATAAGATATGAAATTGCAAAATGAAACAAAAATTATTTACAAATTAATATATGTAAAACTACATGTATATTGTATTGCACATAGTTGAATAAATCAAATTATTTTAATCAAAGTTATTTCAAAGTAACACGTGTTTATTTGTACGAAGTATCTTAGTAATTATTTTAAACAAAATTATTATGTAAGTGTGAGGAGGGTGGCCCATCGTTGGGGATCCCACTTCCTCTATGTCCATGGACCATTTAAAAGCCTAGAACTTTACACTTGTTAAAGATGTTTTAGGATTTGAATTTCTAACTGTTTGGGAGAACTTGAATTAGAATTGAATCCGTCATTACTTTTTTTTATAAGTAACCAATAGAGAGTTGCCAATGAGTTTTAGGAAAACTCATAAAACTCGTTCATACCTTTCTCCCAAGTAGTGTCCAAGGGATAATTAGCATGAATCATAAGTTTACACATGCCAAAATTGGTCTACTAAACCAAAAATGAGTTCGAGAGCGAGGGTACTAGAAAAACGTTTTCTTTGAGAATCGCAATCCTAGCCCTAGTGCGGCCTCTACTAGCTAAGGAAAATAAATCTTGCTCCTTGTTTATTGTACCAAACTTTGAATTTGGTCAACAAAATGGAGAAAATCGAAAGGAGAACCCTGGCCTAATTTTTGAAATTGGGGGTATTCAATTCGACTTGTTTTCATGAATTTGTTTGTTCTACGTGTTGTGACATGTTTAAGGAATATATTGCAACAAATTTCATGTGAAGTGGTCAAATACTGAGTTATGTATGAGCATACACAAACATATATGTTTTTTTTTTCATTTGATTTCTAAATTTGTGCTTGGACTTATTTCTTCTTCTTCTTCTGTTTTTTTCTTTGCTCACATGGACTATACTTGTCAATTTTAATGTAAATTGAAGTGTTAGAACGTTAATTATGCACTAAAATTGGGATCAGAATTTTGAACTTTGATAATGGCTTGAAATTGTTCTTATGGCTCATGTTTATTTTTTCCATGCGTAAGTTCCAAAATTGGTTTTACTAATGATAATAATAATCGATAGTTATTATTATTCACTTATAAAACTATGATTTCAAGATTTGCTTAAAACTAGTTAATTTAGGAAATTCTAGAAGATATCATCGAACCGGTATAGTTTGACTGTATTTCGGGCTTTCGAGCCCCCATTTTATATTTTCGAGTGTTATTTCCCCTGAATATTGGATGGCTTCGATGACTTATTTTATTTATTATTATTTTTTTTAGCATTAGACCCTTTCGTTTGTGTTACTTGAAATGGGTCCAGAAATCCCGTGATTTCGTCTTATTATGATAACAACTAGAATTTTGAAAACGTTAAAACGAGTGTGTTTAAACCGCTTTTGACCATTTATAGCTTTAACAGAAAAGACTTGCTAAGTCTAGTAATGTTGGTACTTTCAAGCTACTTTCAAGCTCTTTCCCTTGAACAAGTAAGAGGAAAATGAGATGTAATTATTCCTTCTCTTCTTGCTACTTTCAAGCTCTTTCCCTTGAACTTAAATTTTATTATCGTTTGAAGTTTGAGAAAGTAGCTATCGTGCCCTTAGAAAAATTCTAATGTTTATTTTGTCATTTGTGCAAGAATGGAGAATTTTGAATGAAGACCCTTTAGTTTCAAACTCGGGATCCTTCAATTCGTGTTATAGCTCACGAAATTGTTCGTCTTATGTCAATGAAGTGTTTTGATACAATTTTCATGATGAATGATTGAGTACTAAACTTTTGCATGAGCAAGCATTTGATATGCATTTGATTTCTATTTTACTCATGATTTTGTTTCTTTTGCCCTATACTAGTCATACTCTCTAATCTTTAGAGTAAATTAAAGTATTGAAACAACAATTATGCACTAAGATTAGTTTTTAAAGTTGAAATTGAAAATGGCTCAAATATGTGATATCTTCATGTTTACAGCTTTTTTAATGGCCAAGTTCAGTTGCAAACTTTGTTTTCAAAGGAACATAATGATTATTGAATCCTTGTGATGCATTTGAAAATTGTTAGGCTCAAGATCTACGTAAACTATTTATAGTTTAGGCGATACTCGAAAGTAGCTTGAATGGCATGAATATTTCATTTTGTTTACTATTTCTCAAGTCTTGGAGCCCTGAAATTGGGGTAATTCCAAAGACTTGCTATTTTTTAGGCTATAGATATAATCACAATGTTGAAATTGGTCTATGTATCCCATGTTTTGTGTCTTGGGAAACTTTTAGGATAATAACGTTGCTTACGCATTTTTAGCTAAAGTCATGTTTAAGGAAGCAAGTTAGTTCTTTGCTTGTTTATAAACTAAAAAAGCAATTGTAGTTAAGGTTTAGTAAACTTTACCTAATGTCAAAACATTGTAGAGATCATTAAGGTAAGATTATTCTCAGAGTTGACTTAGAACAATGTCTCAATTATATATTTTCTTTGTTCCTATCAATCTTTGATTTTGATCTTGTAGGTGGTTCGTCAACCATCCCTAAGCTAATATTAGCATGATGACTAGGCGAGAACTAGTTCGAGTTAAGAAGAAGTCGAATCTTAGTTCATTCCTTTTGGAAATATTTATGTACATGCATGTATTATCCAAAAGGTTATGGAAATTCTGAAAATTTATTTATTTTGAGAAAATGAAACAATATTCAGAAAAGGAATTTTGAAAACTATTTTTTGAGAGAGTAGGAAACACGTTATTTCAAACTAGAATTCAAAATTTGGAGAGGGTCCAATAAATTTAAAGAAAATTTGTTTTGAAAAAAAAGTGAAGATACTATTTCTAGTACGCAAATTACATCAACATGTTATTTTCGAAACTAGACCCAAAATGGAAAGAAAATTCTAGCTCGTAATTAAGTGTGACTTTTTTGTCCAATGATGAAGGCAAGTTGTAATTTGCAACTTATCTCGAAAAGATATGAAAATGTGAGCAAACTCTTGTATATTCAATCTTGTCGTCTCTTTTTTTGTGTTTTTCATCATTGTCATATTTTGCTAATTGAAAGTGAAGTTCTCTCAATAATAAGGAACCGTAAAGTAGTTTCAAAATGAATATTATCAAACTAAGGTTTGATGGAGTGTTAGAATAATTTGTAAAATCATTCGAATCACTTTCCAAAATATGGTCTTAATTCAAAAACGAAAGTTAGGGTAGACCTATATTTTTGTAGCCCCCAAGTGTAGACTTAGGTGGCTTTTGGAATTCATGTATACATATGATAGGGGATGTTTCTCATGTTTGAAGCCTTAGGATTCGTATTTTCAATTTGTGAAATTTTGCATATCACTACTACAAATTCGGCCTAAAGTATCACTAATAAGAAACCCCTTTTAGTAAATAGGGGGTTTTTTAATAAAAGAAACCTATGATCTAAGAAAAGGGGTCTCTTTGAATGAGATATAAGAGACCCCTCTTTAAAAAAATGAGGTTCCTTATTTAGTTTTAAAATTTAACCAAACTTAAGAAGCCTTTTATTTCCAAAACCGGTTTCTTATTTTTTATTTATTAAATTAAAAAAATGAAAAATTAGAATTGATAATTTAATTAAGTGCAAAACTCTGTATTTCCCTCTTTCATTCACTTCATTGATACTCACGCTAATTTACCGCCACTACAACACTCACCCTCCCATCTTCCTCCATTACCTCCAATTACATACGATCAAGCTTCCCTCCACCGCCATCGCAACCGCATAAGCCCTTAGCTTGCCCATCATAAAAGCCATTGCAATTTCGCTTATCTGCCACCATCGCCACTTTAATTTGTTCTGGTTTTTGTGTCGTTTGAACTACTGCCGGCACCGCCACAGAAGCCACCGAAACCACCACCGCCACTGAAGCCACCGCTCATCCTCTCTGCAGAATTTGCGTGTTGTTTCCTTCTTGGTAATTCTAATTTTTTGACTTTTTAATTTAATTAATTTGATGATAAAAATACCCTAATTTTTGTTCTGTTGTTAATTTGGTACTTTTTTTTCGATTTCGTATGGTTGGGTATGCATGTATGGCTAAATTAACATTGAGATTATAGGACCATTGAAATTGTAGGTTTAAATTATATGACTTGTTATATACTGTTTGGCGATGGGTTTAAGAGAACCAATTGTTGACAATTGGGTATGCATGTATGGCTAAAATAAATTGAGATTAAGTTTGTCTCTTCTAAATTAAAGTGACGAGTGCTGTATATATGTGAATCAGAGAGAGTACATAAATTGGGTATGCATGTATGGCTAAATTAAAAATTCTGTGAATGTGTTTTTTTTTTTCTGGGGCAATTTAGATCATGTGGATTACTGGAATATGGACGGGATGATTGATATCAATGATGAGTGTAGACTAGCATTTGAGTGTTATTTTAAACAGTGCTACTATTGGATTAGCTCTTATTTGGACTCGTTCCTCTTAATGAGTGAGATTTTTGTATGAAGAAAGATTCGATGAATGGAAAGGAACTGCACATTGAGAACCACATGTATTTTCACATAATTCAAGTATTGACAACTGCTTTAGAAATGGCCTGGTTGGAATACAAGCAATGACCTGTGTGTCTGACTGATTCACTAAAAAAGCTAAAAAAAAAAAGTAAGGAAGAATGAAATGAATATAGCAAAAAGATTTTTTTATATTCTAGTGATTCCTGAGTGAAAGAATGACGAATTACTAATGTATGAAGATGGAGATAATACATTTGGGCATAATATTAGACAGATTATTAAGGTTGGTTTGTACTCAGAAAGATCAGATTTCAGCTTAACAGTGTGAGAAAAGAGTTGTCTGATCATGACTTTAAAAATATGTCATGTCAGCACAAATTGAATACAAAATGCTTCTTTGTGATCTTTCCTCTAATAAAACATATATGCATTTGAAATCTCGTGATTTTGATAGGATCTTCGCTTATAGATATACCATAACAACTTTTGTACAGCTCCTAGAGCATTGGAGAAATGCAGGAACAGGCGCTAGCTTTCCTTGGCTTTGCTGATCATTCCTTGTCTTGGACTGATATGCAAAGTGCATATCAGATTGTTATTGTGTTTGTATTATCTGCACTGTTAGCTATGTTGCTAACTCCTGCTTGCTATCAGAACAGCCTACATGTAAATTACTCTACTTGGCTATTTGCTGTAGTTTTCTATTGTGAGTGCTTCATTTAACCTTATTCGCGCTTGAAGATGCAAATAAGCTTATCTCTATGTTGCCTCTACCACTTGTCTGCTATCTATGCTTGTTTTCCACATTATTACTTGTATTAAACATGTGTGAATTTATACCTATCCAATACAAAACTAATTTCTCCTTTAAAGCCTCCCTCCATTAGTCTTGTTTAATTAATTGTTGTCGGTAAATTGTTAAAATCAAGGGCTTATTTATATTAGAAGTTCCCTCCATATGTTTGTCTGATTGTATATCATGTGTGAATGTTTTTGTATTATATGCATTCATGGCTATATACTGATGTCACTTAAAGTATATAGGATAAGCTTAAATTATTAGATAGTTGACCATATTTTTAAGTTAGAGAGTCATTTGTTTTTGTATTTTGGCCGGGTTGAGTGGTCGAGATTAAGTGAGTATTAAAAGGTCCCAACTTTCCAGTGCTTTCATAAACGTGCATGCTTTAGTCTCTAACTCTCAATATACCATGTAATCAATTAATATTTTCATGTGTTGTGCTTAGTCACCTTTACTTATTGTGAATTAATATTATTCACTTTTTAGCTTTTGTATTCATTTTTTTATGGTATATGCAACCCATTTTGTGTGGATTTGCATTGGACATATCAATTATTTCGACTTTTATACTGAGGTGCTACATATTTTGATAAGGTAAGTAACATTTCTTTAAATCCTTTTGGCTATCTTTTGTTAATTTAATATGATAGTTATATTTCTAGTTATAGTTATTTTATATGCATGGAAGAAAAGAATAAATAACCACATTGTGTTGCTATCAATTATTACATGGGTCAGATTATATGACATGCCTTTTGATTTTATACCAATTTGTTTATTTTGAGAAATTTATAATTGTTAACCCAATTCTCTTTTAAGTGGGGTCAATTTTGGTTTTGGCCATCAAGTTTTGGGTATGAGTTTCTTTAAATGTCATATTTAGTGTAGAAATGGACATAATACATGTAGTTGAGGACACAATTATTATGTTATTTACATGTTATTTAATTTGATCAAAACTGTGTTAGTTAATTTAAATGTCATATTAAGTGTAGAAATGGACCGAAGTTGGATAACTACATCAAAGCCAGGTGACCCAAAATATATTGATGTGTAAAGGAATTTATCACTTTCGCGGTGAAAAATAGTAGAGGCAGAGAGAAGTTACCATGTCCTTGTTTTATGTGCCACAATCTCTTGTACAAGAGAGTTGATGAAATACTTAATCATCTCAGTAAATGGGCCTTTGATAGAACATATACCCATTGGACTTTTCATGGAGAGTCTAGGGAAAGAATTTCTAAGGCCACTTCTATGGATGGTGTAAGGGAGGGTCATGCTAATTATGAAAGTGATCGTTTAGAGGACATGATACCTGTAGTTGAGGACACAATCATTGAGGATCCTGCTGCTGTCCAGACCTTATTAAATGATTTTGAAATGCCGTAGTACCCTGGTTGCACCAAGTATACCAGATTGTCGGGTTTACTTAAATTATACAATTTAAAGGCAGGTCATAGTTGGTCAGATATTGGTTTTAATGCGTTGCTTGAATTATTAAAAGACATGCTTCTAGAAAATAATGTTCTTCCAAAAGGTTGTTTCAAAGAGAGATTGGAGCTTCACATTTGTATATCAATAACAATCCCAACAAGTGTGTATGGACATGAGCAGAAACTTAAAATTGATTATGCATACATTTTTTACTGGTGCTTTCAAAGAGAGATTGGAGCTTCACATTTGTCTATCTTTATGAAGTAAATGCCTAATGACTGACCTTTTTTTTCTATTGCTTTCTAACTATCAGTTTTATATTATTTGTAATAATATGTTAATTGATGTGGAAGGTACTTGAGCGAAATGTGTAAACAAGATAGTGTTGCTGGAATGTATGGATTTTGCGATATTGGTTGTTTATCTCCGCTGACACCAATGACTGAAGAAGGATGGTCAGACTATTTAGCATGTGTGTTTGGTCAAAATGAAGGGAAGAATCTTAATCAACTTTTCTTTGCTCCGTATAAAGAAAAGTAAGTGTGAATTATATATAAAACTATTTTTTGGGATGTTCAATGATAATACTGTCAATGTTTCTTCTCTTACTAATGTTACATATAGTTGACATTGGATGGTTGCGATCATTAGTCCTTGGAATGCAGTGGTGTTTTGGCTAGATCCAGATGGAGCAGAAAATGAAATTAGTGAATTTGCTCAAAAGACCATCAATGAGTATGTAGTACATCACATATTCATTATATCTACATATAATGTGCTTAAAATCAGTTTGCTTTCTTTGTGTTGTGATTGTTTAATTTATGAGGACGTATATTGCAATATCGATAATTACTAATCTAATTTTTTTATATTACATTTTTTTAGTGGGATAAAAAAGTTTAGCTACAAACATCGAAAAGACATTATCAAGATAAAAAAAAATCCAGGAATTAGGTGGAAGAAACCACAGGTAAGTTTTAGTTAATTTATACAAAGCTTTTTAATAATTATAAAAAAGAATTATCATGTGACATAACTAATTTTTAATTTTTTCAAGTGTCCTCGTCAATCACTAAATTCTTGCGATAATGGATACTATGTGTGCCGCTACATGCTTGAGACTATAGACAAAAGACGACAAGTGATTCCTGATCAGGTATTATTCATGCATGCATAATGTATATTTATTCTAAAGAAAAAAAAATTCTGTTTTCATTTTTTTTATTCTGTTTTCATTTTATTCTGTTTTCATTTATATTACTTGTTTTTATCTATATTATTCTGTTTTTGTATTCTGTATTATGTTTCTAGGGGAAACATACTCCATGTTTCTGGGGCAAGTTTACAGATTCTGTAGCCAACTTTGAAGGCTACTTTAGGATTATCAGCCTGTTAGAAGTGCATTATTTATTTGCCCTGGAAATGGGCTGTAAGTTTGATTGAGTCTGAACCACTGCATTATATGGATGTGAGAATGATCATATCAATAATTTTGGTCAAACTAACTTCCGGAAGTTGTACATGTAACTAACATCAGTTATCTTAAGGCCTTTATGATTGTTCATTAAGAAGTTGGTCATACATTCTATAATAATAGTTAAGAACCCAGAAGCTTTTAATTGCTCAACTTTGTTTGTGTTGGCTATGTTCTGATTGTACTAAAATGGGTATCCGGCATATGACGACATGAATAAGTAAAAGATGCAGGCACATAAATATTGTGGTTTTGAAAATTCAGTTATTACAACTTTAGTCACATGAACTAATTAAACTGGTTCAGTTAAGGTCAATTTGTCAATCAAGTATCAGCTAGGATCAAGTAATGCGTTACTATGGTGTGTTTTCTTTGTGGTGGGTTTCAATTCTTTTTTACACTATAGAAAATTTTCCATTTAGATGAAATAATACATGCTTGATTTTAAACAGAAATAGGTCATGTAAAGTTACTTCACATTGTCTTTTTCATGTTCTTTATAGTGTACTTTAACTCAATGTATGCTTTATATGTAGTACTTTACTGGAGTTACCTTTTTCTTATTCTCAAGCAAAGATTGACGAGCTAAGAGACTTATGGGTTAATTATGTGAACGAGCATAAGCAAGTCGGTGAAGAATATGACGATGTGGATTATGATGAGTAAATTTATAAGCAAGTCGGTGAAGAATATGACGATGGTGTGGATTATGATGAGTAAATTTATATGCATCGCGCTACCATTACAATTTTAGTATTTTATATTGTCTTTTTTCTTTTGGTACTACGTACAACATAAACACTCTAAATTTGTACTCGTAGTAAAATTTTATTTTCAATGAAAGTATGCAATATTTTATCTTGTACAGTAGCTTATTTTCATATTTTTGTTTATAGTTATATATATATACAGGTTTGTCACCTGTTAGGTAGCTCGTTACATTATGTTGCTTTAAAAAAAATTAAAAAAAAATAAATAAATAAGAAACCGGTTGTCTAACAAATCTTGCCGGCGATTCATTCATTCATATTATTATTATTATTATTATTATTATTATTATTATTATTATATTTTAAAATTTTGAGCCTAGATAAGAGACCCCTTTTTCCAGTTAGGGGGGTTTTTTAAAATATGATATAAGAGACCCCTTCTCGCTCTTATGTGGTTCCATATACACCTTTCATGTATAATTTAAAGGGTTGGATAAATAACCACCTAAGAAAGAAAAGGGGTTTCTTATTGTCTTTAAGAAACCACCTCCAAAAAGGGGTTTCTTTACCTAAGAGGTCGCTGACCTTAAGACCCCCTCTCATGTGGTCTCAAAGGGAGGTTTTAGGGGGTTTCTTATGGGTTTTTTTATAGTAGTGTATGTTCATCATGAATTGTTTAATCAAGTAACATAATTATCTTGGTCAAATAACAGGAAGTAGTATTCTTCCCGTTGTCATTTAAAGTTACTAAGCTGGATCATAGTAAGCTTTAATTTGTTTGACATTGGTTTTGCCACACACAAGTTAGCAATCAATTAGCGTATTCAAATCTGTAAATAGAGGGAAGTAAGGATATCGTAGTTTTCTTAGCCCCCAGTTTGAGGCAAAAAGCAAAAAAAATATACAGCTTTTGGAGTTTTTTTTGTTCCCGATGGGAGGGATCATCCCGACTTACCCCTTAAAAAAGAAATGAACAAAAAAGACGGATTTGCATAAAAAAGGAAGGGGAATCCAGCTTTCCCATAGAAGAATAAAGAAAGAGAATTAGACATGATTTCGAAAAGCAAGGATTATTGAATGAATAGTTGAATCATCGTGATGGCATGGCAGTGAGGTACACGTGTAATTGCGATATCATTTTGTTCATGTAGCGATCATGTTCAATCAATGTTCCTCACTTAGAAAGGATGAATATATCCCATGCAGCCGACCATGATAAGTGAGCTGGATAATTCTCAAGAGTTGTAAGAGACATCTAAAGTCGACATCGAGGCTATCAATATATCGAATCAAATAACAAGATTCACTTGTTTTCTTTCTAGGCAATGTATATAGGACTTGAATCACCTTGGTAATAAATAGCCCTATTATTAATAAAAAAAATAAGATGATTATTTTGGAAATGATAGTCATCTTAATTTTCTTGGCAAAAGATATGGAAAACATCGAGTAAATTTGATTCGATTGCTCTACTAAAATGATTTAATCAAGCCAATGGCTATCAAATCATTGAAATTATTTGATTTTTTTTTTTATTTTTTTCGATTTTGTAATCATTGCTCAACACTTCATGCACTTTATGTATGGGCATAACTACTCAATAGTAGGTCCATATGTGCGAAGGCCTAATGTGGGCCATATTTTTGCAGAATGATGATTCTCATGGTACATGGTTTTGGTCTACCTCAAGGAGGGCCTTTCCAAGGTTGTAACGTAGCTATGCTTGGGGTTATGAAAAAATGGACATGCTCAAGTATACTCCCTTAATCCCTTCTTTTGGTGCTTCTCAAATTAAACTTTCCTATTTTGTACAACAATTCCTACATTAGATGCCTTCTTCCTTGTTCTCTTTTTTTTTTTTTTCCTCTTCTTTCTTTTATTTTTTTTTGACAAGTTTGGTTTTGGGTTTAGAACAATTTTTTTGCTTTTACATTGGATCTTTTCTTTTTGGGGTTGGACCAACTTTATGTCCCACTCTTATGTTTCGCTCCCCCAATTTTTCATTTGTATCTCTTTGCACCATTCCTAGGCCATCCCAAGGTTTGGAGTAATGTAGGTTGAATAAGTAAGGCTCAATTGATGAGGCTCAAAAGGGCTGCTAAAAAGATGGATTTATTCTAAGGTTAAAGACATGGAATCATCTTCGTGGAGTTTCAAGTTGCCTCATGTGTTGGTGTATTCATCATATCCTTTATTAGAGAGCCAAAAGATGGGCCTCTTTTCATTCGATAAATCTTGTAAGCTAAAGCTCATCAAGATTCTTTAAAGCATTGAGTATGTATGCCTTTTTTGATATTGCCTGTTTGTATGTGTATTTTATTAAATTCGAGCTAATAACAACAAAGTGATTAAAAATAGAACAAGATAGACATACTTGAAAATAGAATTTTGTTCATTAATTAATGAGAGTACATAGTAGTTAGATTCGACAGCGTGAATCTCTTAGTCTATCATAAATAAAATAAAAAGGAAAGAAACAAAACAAGACCTAGGGTGCTACATCTTGAATTGTTAACAACTTCTTGAGATTGCGTCTTCGAGCTTTGTCCGTTTCCAACGTAGGTGAGATCTTCTCTAAAAATCTAGTCCATCTATATGACTCATGGTTTCATTTATCAAGTCCCTTTTAATTAATGTTCCCACAGTATAGACTTTACGGAACGTGTCTAAACCAAGGTATTGTAAATGGCACTTGTATGGTGGAGAAATATTGTCTATGAACTTTGGGACAAGTTCATGATCCGGAGGTCTTTGTGAAATAAGAGCAACCTTTGATCGCCACATGGAAAAGAATTCAATGAAGCCTTCTTCTTCCCCTTGCTCGAGTAATTCAAGATCGCGCAAGATAGTTGTGAGCTCGATGTTATCTCCATATTGGGCTAGAAACGCTTTTACAAAGTCCTCCCAAGTGGAAGTTTGTTTTTCATCGAGGTTATAAAACCTTGATCTAGCAGCTAGGTCCAATGAAAGAGGGAAATTAAAGTACATGCATATAAGCTATGCTCGACCCCTTTCAATGCCATCATTCCGAGAAAGCTCATTAAGTGAGTCCTAGGATTGTCCGTAACCTTAAAGGTTGGTAAATCCATAGTCAAGAACTTTTCTAGGAGAGTCTTGCCACTAGGTTGTGGTGCATGCTCATAATTGAAGAACTTAGTCCCTGAACTAGCTCGAAGGACAAGTTTCTCCAAGGCCTCTAGTCTTTCGGCTCTTGCTTTTTCTTGTAGAATTTTTTCTTTTTCTTTTTCTTGTTTTATTTTAGCCTTTTTAGCTTTTTTATGAGCCTTCATTTGGGCTTCTTCTTCTCGTAGGACCTTTAGGTTTTGGAGTTCCTCTCTAAGTTTCTCCAATGCTCGCTTTGTCACCCATGATTGGACTAGGATGAGAATGTGGAATATGATCTAGTAATGTGTATCACAAGAAATTGAGCGCGTTCACTTAAAACCTTTTTTGCCAAGCATTCAAACAATGAATAAAAGTCAAAAGTGTTTAATTTTTTTATCCTTCTAATACGAATTCACTTTAAGCAAGTTTATTGATGGAAAATGTCAATAAATTCACGAACAATTATTAATGGAATGTCATGATTTATGTTGACTTCAACAAGGTAATTATCTAAGGATTTCACTTTAGGTGAACTGTTTTCGAAAAAGGTAGAAGAGAATAAGAAGGGAAAGTTGGATTAAAAATGTTCATCAAGTTTTTAGAAATATCAATCAACCTAAATACACTCCTTAAATTGATCAATATACTAGAATATGGTACTTGATCATTTACATTACAATAGAGACCTTGATTATCGTGGTTTTTTTTTTTTTTAAAAAAAGATTCTCATATTGCTCATCTCAATAGGTTCGAAGGAAACCATTCTATTTAAACCAATAGTAATTATCCATCAACCTCCTCCCCTGTGCTTGCGTGCATGCGATTGTGTGAAAAAAAAAATAAATTCTTATTTTGTTTTAAATCAATCTTGCTTTGATTAATTATTTTTTTTGGGTGTGTTTGATGATTTTATGAAGTTTTAATAATGATTAATATGTATATAATTTTCATATTTGGTTTTTGAATTAAAAAGCCCCAAATTAATTAACCCTAGGTTTCAAAATTGATGTTTATTGATGGAATTTAATGGTGATTGACTAAAACTATTAAAATTAATGTTTTTAGACTAAATTACAGCAAGTTTAAGAGTTTTTATAATGCTGGAATTTTTATGTAGAGGTTAGAATTAAGTATTCTTGAAGGTATTTTAATTACCCATTAATTGGGAATAAAAGTAGATGGTTTTAATTCATTTTCAGCATGTTTTCAAAGATTTAAAAGTGTTTTAAAGAGTGTGTATATTGCTGGAAATTTATTATGAATAGGTATTATTGTCACTTTGTAATTTTGGGTTGTAGGAGACTTCCAAGTGAGTGATTTTGTGTAGTCGTGGCGATTTTGAGATCATATTTGATGAACGTTCGCGTACTCGGTAATTATTTGAGTGTGTAGAAGCATGCTAGGACTTGTTTAATCAATTCCAAGTTAGTATCATGATAGGTATTGGTTGAAATTATTGGTTGGATTGATTTTGGTGATTGATTTGCAAAGCATTAATTATTTGAGGTGAATTATTGATTGGAATTAATTATGATGGCATGTTGAATATTGACCACACTTTTATTATTGGCATGATCAAGAGCATGTTTGATTAAACTAAATGTTTAATTTGAATTGGATTATAAAAAGGGAATTTTATTATAGTTCATTTAATTTTTATTGATGCTCTAAACATGGGAAATGAGCTATTTAAGTGTCTATGTACACGAGGACCAATTATATATTGGTGCTTAAGTGCACTTAAGGTGTTCTAAACACCGAAGAATAGGATTTGTGGTGCATTATGCACTTAAGGTGTTATTTAATGCCGAGGTAGTTTAAAAAGGGTTCAACATTAAATTAAATGTGGTCACAAATTATTCAAGAATTAAGTTGGTATGTTTAATTGCATGAATGATTTATGATTATTGATTGTGTTGTGAATTGAGAGTCATCACCAATTTTAAAATATGTAAACAACATAAAGTGAAAGAGATTACGCACCAAAACTCTTGGATCGTATATAGCTCAAGTATGAACATATGAGGGGAGTTATGGAGTTTTATATTTAACCATAGCTTCTACTTGGAGTACAGGATGCTGTATTTTCCTTTTTATTATTATGCGCAAGAATTCCGCCACTTACGAGTGGTTCTTTTATACTAGCAAGGTTAGCTCCCATGTTAGTA